TCTCAGTTCACTTTATCAGCATTGTACTGGTATACAGGCTGATGTATGTCAGAAACTTCACACTTTTCTAGTGGACAGGTGCAGAGGATATCTCATTTCTCTGGGGAATTACTTGTATATAATTTTGACCCAGAAAGTGTATTCAGTGAGAATGTAGTCCCATTAGGGTACTGCTGGGTGTCAGAAAACAGCAGTCTCTACTGGTGTTCTTCTGGTGTGAGCTCACAATTTGTTCTCTGCCTCCACTTTAATTCAATCCAAATCTCACTGAATAAGCAGGATTCAGACTTTCTCCATCACTAAAATCACACTGAGCTCTGCCTCTTGTCCTTTGCACCTTGGAAGACCTTACTGTGGGCTCAATATGCTCATGCCACTGTACTGTCAGACCAGCCCTGGCCAGCCTAGAATATGAGCAGAATGAATGTATGTTCTGTGTTTAGAGACGTCCACTTAAAGTCTAATGGCCCAATTTTGAATATAAATACAAAAAGCCCAGTAGAGCTAAGTTATAAGTGTCCAGACAATCCTTGTGAGTCTTCCAAGGCTGACTTCAATCTTCTCATAGACGTATGAGCATGTCACTTCCAGTCTCAGCCCCACAACCTGGATGACTTTTAGTGCTCTTCTTCCTGTACATGAAATGGTTTGCTTCCTCTCTGTGTGAGGCTCTAAGGTTTGTGCAGCAGTCAGTTATTTCCTCCCTAGCAGATTCAAGCTCCAGGAACAACCTGAGTGTTACTATTTACTCTGATAAAGTACTCTACCTTGGTGGGTTATATTATCTTGTCTTGCTTTCTGTAGAAACAGGAATTTCACTTAACAAATTAAAGCATCTCAGGTTTTTTGGTGATGAGTCACATATTCAGAAGACAGTGTTATTGAAGAATATGCTTTAATTATACTGCTATGGTGTAATAGCTGTTGTTTAATTAATATTTACACTGTGGAAAACTCTGTAAGATATTCATCAAAAAGTAGTCAACTTATCATTAGCTGTAAAACAAGGCAAAGAAAAAAAGATCCTTACAAGTCAACACTTACAGAATCCTTTTTTCTTTATATTTTTGCATTTTTTCCTGAAAAGAAACTTCCAGTGGTCATGTCAATGAGTTAGGTGTGGAGATTTTTAAGCTTGGAAACATGTTGCAATAAAACTTTCCTGATGTATGTCTGTAACCTTTCCAGACATATCCTGAGTTATCAGTAATATTTCAAGCATCAAATTTTACATAAGCCAAATCAGAAAATTATTTTTTTCAAAATGCATGGACAGGATTATGATCAAAAAATCCCAAAGTCAAAAAACATTAAATAATATTTTAAACTCTGTCTGTTGCATGAAGGGATTCCACTTCTTAAATCTAAATCCCTTTTCATGGTTTCATTCAATATACAGTCTTTCAAAAGGAACTTTTTTCCAGTGCCTATATTACTCCTTGTTATTAGAATGCACAAGAACATTCTCATGAAATGTAGACCTTAGTTCAATCTGAATATTCAAAGTTTTTATAATTCCAATCAACTTTCAAAAACTGATTTTTCAGACCATCACTAAGAAACCTGATCCTCATAAAAGAGTAAATCACACTGATAAAGCCTTTATATTTGATTCATTATTATGTCCAAGCCTTTAGATAGTAGAGCTATGTCCAGAGAGCCTTTGAGCTCTGTAGCCAAGCCAAAACAGATGCTGCCTGTCTGCAGTGGTATCTTCTCGCCTTCAGTTTAGTTGGCAGTTGTGAAAGTTCTCAGATATTTCTTCTGTGATCACAAAGGATAAATACAAGCCAAAGCAAACAATGGAGGCAATAGTAAAACCTGGCATCCCTAATGCATCCATGATGAGCCTCTCTTTCCCCATGCAGCTCCAAATAACTCGTACCACCCCCTTTCTTAGTCCAGCAGAACTCCCCATTTCTGCCCTACCAGGACAGACAGCAGCTGAATTGTCATTCCAGAGATCATGTGCTAACAACATGTCTAAAAATTTCATGGTCTGTCTGTAATCCACAAAATAATTACAGACAGATATAAGGATGCCTTCTGGAAATTCTAAGTAGCAGAAGATTGTCCACAGTGATTGCTAGCAGATTGTGCCAGTGGATGTATACTTTCAGGTAAGTCAGTTCATGCAAGTAAAGCTATAAATACCACTGATTACTGGAATAGCCAGATAAACAAGATAAAAGTAAGAGAATAAAGATATAAATAGTGGCTATTAACTAATTACCAATTTGGGTTTAAATTCATAGAATCATAGAATAATATCTCAAGTTGGAAGTGATCCATAATGATAATTGAATCTAACTCCCATAGTATTTTTGTTGAAAGAACTGGAAAGGAGAACTAGAAAATTGTAACTACTTTATTCAGCACTTTCCAAAAAGAGTCCTGCAGGCTTTTTGTTTCAAATTATGCTTTAGAGGAAAAACTGTGTAATTTTATAGGCAATCTTCTCCCAGTAATGAAACTTATTCTATTCTATTCTATTCTATTCTATTCTATTCTATTCTATTCTATTCTATTCTATTCTATTCTAACTAAAATGTTTTTTATTTTTGTAATTCTAATACTTGGACACTTAACTATGAATTTCACTGTGCTCTGAGACTGTTAATCCAGGACAAACATGCTTCTCATCTGTACATAGCTGCACTCTTGTCCATAAAGGGAACAGTTATGACAGGGTTTATGGGGCTTGTGTGGCAGAGCCAGAACACTGGTGGGTCTCACATAGTCCTGCACTGATCTCGTTTCAATAAGGAGCATAATTTCAAAAATTTCAATAACTTTAAGAGGTTAGCAACCACTCAGAAGTTGTCTGATATCCTATGCAAATTTTTTTCAACCCCTTCACCCATAAGGAGATATAGCCTCTTGCTTTGGTGCCTCAGTAAATAATGTGTAAAGACTGGATTTTCACATGGTTGTTTTTCTTACAATCTGCCTCTTTTCTTGTCTGCTTTGCACTGTAATTCTTAGAGAAAACATCAAGTTGCTACCATGAAAAAATAGTAGCAGGAGATTATATGGAAATAAATTAATTGCAATATGCTAAGTATTTTGAAAGACAAAAGTCAGAAATTAATTTCAAGAAGGAAAGCTTTCTGGTTGTCTGTTTGCAGTCTGGGTTCAATTTGATTAGCCTGCTGAGATGCTGGTCTAGGGGAAGAGCAGAGATGTGGTAGCTGATGTATAATGGTTTTGCATTCTCCATACATTCTATTTAATGAGATGGAAGATGAACATATACTTACTGAGATTGTGGTTATCCTTTTTTTGTCTCTCCTTTGCCATTGCTCTTGTATCTGCTTCTGACAGAAAGTAACATTTATTAAAATATTCCTTAAGATGTAATTCCAGTACTTTAATCTTTTGAAAATGGCCTCTTGTCACAAAGACCAGACTTCCAGTCCTTTTACTGCATTACTATTTTTATTATTAAAACAGATCATAGGCAAATCGTTATTGCACCAGTACTAAACTCTGAGCAAGTCTGGCAGGTTTCTTAACATTTTTTTTATGGCACTTTTTTAAATTTAAGAATGTAGAAATGCTGTGGAGTGGTATTTTTCTCCAATTTCCTGTATTTTACATCAGGATAAAACTTACAATACACTAAGGTGAATATGGATTTTCTATATCCCATAATGCAAGAGTTAATCAGATTTGTAAGATATTGAATAAACTCACTGTTTCCTCTGAGTGACATTAATAAACTGTACATGATTTTTAGCATTCTTTGGATTAATTGAATATAACTTTTAAAGTTCTTAATCCACTAATAAAGCTTTACCTTGAATAGCCTTATTGTAAAGTTTCAAAAGGACTATTTGTTCTACCCTGGAACAAATTCAGTGGATGATAATTTATTTATGTTGTTGGTCAGGAGCCGACATATGGAAGAATATATTGTTTTCTAAAATATTAAGTTTTTTCAGAAGCATGATGTTCATAAAAACAGGGGACAAATATGGTTTCTGAACTGCTAAAAAGAACAGAAAGCAAACATTTCTCCTTGATTTTTGTTCTTTTCTTTAAATGAAACCACAAACTGAAAATTCTCAGGAATTTAATTACGGGTATTTTTTTCATGGATAAGATCTATTCAACTTTTAAGACACACACCATCACTTATGCAGTTATGTACTAAAATCTGAGAGTTCTTTTACCTGTGAGCTCCCTTTTTACTGGTAGATTAGCTGGGCAAGAAGCATTTGTGAGACCCATATTAGCTGGTGCCATTCCCTGGTCACTGTTATATATATCCAAAATGCTGCTAGATAGCTTGAGGGGTAGGGAAGGAAAGAAGAATAAGGGAAAAAAAATATAAAATAAGTAAAAGGCTCAAAAGATTTAAAAAAAAAAAAAAAGAAAAACCAAAAAACACCACCATGCATGCAACGAGCAAATATCTTTGGATATATCTTTGGATATGAGTCTGAGTCTGGTTTGCTTTAGAAGGAGAGTATGGTTATAAATCTAAGGGGAAGGTTTCCTGTTACACAATATTAACTAAAATTGAAAGAAAAGCAAAGGATCACTGAAATGGGCCTGCTATTTTTCTACAGGTGCCATTTGTGTGAGCTTCAGATCTACAGTGATGACCAGATATGAGCCACAGTGTCTGTTTCTCAATTACTTCTACATTATATTTTCTAAATCCAGGGTTTCTATGACTGTTCTTCAAATATGCATTAGGTTGAAAGTCAACTTTACCGTGCTGATTTTGACCATACTCCCCTGTATGATTTTTTAACCACAACTCTAAACTCTGAATTGGTACCTCATATAGGGCCTGGTGCAGCAATATAGAGACTCAGGGACCTAGTTATATGTAGCAGTTAAAATTAGAGTGGACAGAACATCAGAGAACATGCTTTGAGGAGCTGTACTGTTGTCATGATAGAGCAGATAATCTAATGGCTTTAACGTGCATAATGTATACCAATACCCTTATTCCCTTAAAAAATATAATAAAATATTATTTAAATAAGCCAAACAATGTACTCTAAGAAAAGTAAGGCTAAAGTATGTGGATTTCAGGTAATTGCACAATTACCTTTACGTGTATAACTATACACTTATGAAATAACTGCAAAATTTGTAAAAGTTTACTGAAGAAATGTGTTGTTACAGATTTCCGCAGCACCTATGGATCCTGAATCAACCTGAATTTTCCACGCAGGTCATCGAGACACCAACCATAGGTCTGCTGGGAACCAGCTTTTTTCAGACTCTTACAATTTCTCTCTTTGTAGAAACTGAGAACTTCACCACAAGTTACTTTGAATGGAAACAATTTTTCCAATTACTTGCTCAGTGTGAAGTTGTTCCATGGCATTGCTTCCTATATTTTATGTTAAAACTGAAATTTTAAATTAGTTTTATTTTAAATAATAATTTTATTAAATTAACTAATAACTTTACTGGATGACCTGAGAATCTAGTTTGAGTGAAATTCTCCCAGTTCTATTACATAGAATGAAATGAAACAATCAGAATTATTATTGAGCACACATAAATAATATGCTCATTTTTAAACTAGAGCTTCATTACTTAGGAAAACTGAAAATTCTTGAATACCATTGGAAATCATAACACCAAGTCAGTTTTGAAAATCTGCTTATACATTTGATCTCTCAATGAAAATACTTTTTAAAAGAACGTTTGGAATTCAGATGAGTACTACTCAGAACAAGCTATGTTTAATATGCAGGATTTGAATGCTAAGAGCATTCTCACGTTAAGTACCTTTGTTTCATTTGAGGGGTAAACTGACAAGTATTACAGAATTCACTGCAGTTTTACCTTTGCATTTTCTTTATTCCAGTGATAGGATAACTACATTACAAGAATGAGCTTATATCAGCTCTAGTTATATCTAATTACTTCTTACATTCATGTAAATGAATTTAGTTTATTCAAATGATATGAAAACAGAGTGACATAAAAAAATTGAGAATCAATGTGACTCCTACGTTCCTACACGTCCAGTTCTAGTGCACTTTGGCAAGAATTCTATGTGATTGAAGCTACATTTTGTGAAGTGCTAGGAAATAGTAAACACTGAAAATAATATAAACTAATAAATAATCTGTCAAATGAGAAATACATATCTGTCATTCATTACATATTTCACACAGCTGTGTACATAAGTTCAATAATTTGCATGAAACTGGTAGCAATCTTCAATTTAGTAGATTGTCAATGCCATTAGTGAAAAAAACAAGCTTGTACACCACAATTTGACACAAACATGAGATACTTAATTGATTAGTTCTAATTTTAAAGAGAAATTCAAATTTTTCCTTGAAAGATAGTTAAATTTCTATAGTCTATTCACAAAGGTGAGAATTTAAATTACAATCTCCAAATCAAAAAGAAAGGTTTATGAATGGCCAATTCAGCTGGCAAGGAAAAAATAATACCAACACACATAAAAGTTCAAAATTGTGTGATGGTTCAAAAGAGCATGAGTAAATTCAACTTGACATGCTTGGCCCTCCTGGCTGCCAGGGCACTGCTGGCTCAGATTCAGCTTGCCACTAACCAGGACCCTCAGGGCCCTTCCTGTGGCACTGCTTTTCAGCATCTCATTCCTCACTCACTATAGACATGCAAGGTTGCCCCATCCCAGGTGAAGAATCCAAGCCTTGTCTTTGTTAAACTTCATTCAGTCCAGCCCAGTAATTTGTCTAATTTTCTTTGCAGAGCGTCTCTGCCAAATGTCCCATATCATCTTTGTTTCATGCAGATGCTCTCCAGCATTCTCCCCCTAGTCATTTCACCAATTTTATCAGCCATTGGGAAAATAGAATCACCACTCCGTATGTAGATGATGGAAATGAAGCCCAAACCTAAGTCATCCAGCTACTGATGACTAGAATCCTATCAACTCACTCTCAATTAGGGGGTACATAAGTGTTACTCCCAAAGGGATGGGCAGGGAAGAAGAGACAGTGGGGCAGCTCTGCATTTTAGGGAGTGTTTTGATTGTCTAGAGCTTAATGATGAGATGATAAGGTTGAATGTTTATGGGTAAGAATCAGAGGGAAGGCCAGCAAGGCAGTTTTCCTAGCTGGACTTTGTTATAGACCACCCAACCAGGATGAAGAGGCAAATGAAGGATTCTATAAGCAGCTGAGAGAAGTCTTGTATTGCTGGCCCTTGTTCATGAGGGGAACTTCAACTTACCAGATGTCTGGAAGTACAACAACCTAGAGGAAACAATGCAGAAGATCCCTGGGTGTGTGACAGCTAACTTCCTGACAGCTGGTAAGAAAACCAGCTAGGGAAGGTGACCGATGTATCCGCTGTTTGTGAACAGACAAGCAGTGCAGAGACGTGACTGTTGGAGGCCACCTTGGGCACTGCTATCATGAATAATTAAAGTTTTTCATTCTTGGGGATGCAAGGAGAGGGGTGATCAAGACTTGGATTCTCATAGGGCAGATTTTGGCCTGTTTAGGAGACTGGTTGAAAGACTCCCTTGGGAGGCAGTTCTGAACGGGAAAGGAGTCCAGGAATGCTGAACCATGAAGATGCAGGAGCAAGAAATGTTCATGTGCAAAAAGATGAGCCAGTGAGGAAGACTAGCCTGGCTGAACAGAGAGCTTTGGCTGGAACTGAGGGAGAAAAAAGCATAGTGGAGGTAAATGCAAACAATGCAGGAGGACAGCAACAATGTTGGGAGGTTATGCAGGAAGAAAATTAGAAGGTCCAAAACCTAATTAGAATTTAATCTGGCCACTGCTCTAAAAGACAAGTATAAATATTTCTATAAACAAATCAGCAACAAAAAGAGGGGTAAGGAGAATCTCCATGTTTGTATTGGATGCTGAAGAAAACACAGTGACAAAGGATGAGGAAAAGGCTAAAGTACTCAATGCCTTCTTTGCTTCGGTCTTTAATACTACTGGTTCCTTGGGTACCCAGCCACCTGACCTGGGAGACAGAGCTGAATGACGACATCATAATCCAAGGGAAATGGTCAGTGGCCTGCTATACCACTTAGACACACACAAGTTCACGAGGCTGGACAGAATACACCTGAGTGCCCTGGGGGGAGCTGGCACAAGAGCTCACAGAGCCATCTTTAGTCATTTACCAGAAGTCCTGACTAACTGAGGAGGTTGCAGCTACTGGAGCAAATGTCATGCCCGTCTACAAAGTGGAACAAGAGGAGGATGGAAGAACTACAGGCCTGTCATCTTAACCAAGGTGACAGGAAATGTTATGGAAAGTTAGTGCCAATTGCACTATCAGCTGTGAATTTAGTAGAAATTCTTCTGTGAATTTAGTAGAAATCTCAATTCCATTGTAATGGTCACTATGACAGATAAGTGGCTTTGTGGATACGGTCACTGGTGTCCTTTGGCACACTGTCTTCATTCACAGTTAGCACAAAATATCTACTATGAATTAGGGTGCAAGGAAGAATTCTCAGTGTCAGGATTCAGGATCAGGAGAAGAAATGGAGAATGATTAATGTGATTTGTTTTGGACACTTGAATGTGTCCAAATGAACTGGATGATCTCTGTCTCTTACTCTTGACTCTGAAGGAAGTTTGGGGTGAATGTTGCAGGCCTCCCATGTGTACCTTCTGAGGAAACCTCACTGAGCTCCTAACATGAAAATTCCCAAATAAACTCTTATTTTAAAAATCACATAAGAAAGATTTCCTTTAAAATTAATCATTTTTCTGATTACCAGAGACTTTTATAAAATAGTCAAATAATGTGTCAAAGTATTTTGTTGAAACTCTCTACCTGAATTTGCTCTGCATTGATATCAAGCACAGAAAATTCCAAGGAATTTATTTGCAAATGATACTGAGAGTAATCTTATAGTAGAAATTGGCTGACTTTTATACAACATGAGGAAACATACTTTTTGTCTGACAAAACAGGAAGTTCTTTTAGAAATGTAGACAGCTGTAAACAACTAATTTTCAAATTATAAAATCAAAATATATAGCATAATATCTTATAGAAATTGTGAGTCAAAATACATCTGGCTGTTTGGATGTGTACCAAACTTCATACATCGTAACAGAATTTATTGCTTATTGTGTCATTTAAGCAGGGAAAGTTTTTGCAGTACTGAGGTTTTAAATAGCTTCCAGGCCTACATCAAAAGATACATACATATATATATACACATACACACACATAATTTCATAAAATTCAACAAAATGTTACTAAAAGTACAAATCATTTAAAATGGCACAATTATGCAATATGTGTACAATGATGATCCTAAAATTCTGTAGCACTGTGAAACC